AAAAGAGAAGCGAGGAGAATAACAAGGGAGAGGAAAATCTAGTAGGCACGCAGCCACCTCTGGGTGAGTTTCTGTCCACCCAAGACACCCCTGTGAGACAAGATGTGACCTGCTGTCCTGTCTCTTTGATGCCCTGTGATCAGGTGACTTAAAAAAAAAGTTGTGAGGAATAGTTCAGTTGTTCCTCAAAAAATTACACATAGCATTCCCATATGATCCAGCAAGTTCCATTCTGGGAGTATTCCCAAAAGAAATGAAAGCAGATACTTAAAGACCACTTTTTTTCCTATGCTGGTAAAAGCACCGTTCACAACAGCCAGGGGGTGGAAACAACCCGAGTGTCCGGGAATGAACGGATAAATAAGACGTGGTCCATCAGAATATTATTCGGCTTTGAAAAGGAAGGACGTTCTGACACTTGCTACCACATGGATGAACCCTGAGGACACTGGGCTTAGTGAAAGATGCCAGTCACGAAAGCCAAGCCCCATATGATTCCAATCCCATGAGGTCCCTAGAGTCATCAGATTCATCGAGACAGAAAGGAGAACGGTGGTTGGTGTTTAGTAGGGACAGAGTAAGGGACGGGGAGGGGGATGGAAAGGGTTAGTGTTTATGGGGGCAGGGTTTCTTCAGTTTGGGAAGAGGACAGAGTTCCAGAGATGGATGGGAATGCTGGATGCCCAACAACGTGAAGGTATCTAATGCCACTGAGCTGTGCACCTAAAAATGATCAAGATGGAAAATTTCATGTTATGTGTATTTTACCACAACAACAACAAAAAAAAAGCTACAAGAAATGGGCTGGATCTCCCCTGTCTTTGGATGTCTGAAAGAAAGCAAGTGTCACCCATTTCTTGGGGTGTTTTGACTCGGTGTAGACACGTCTATACCGATGGCCTTACCCTTCTCCTTGATGTTTGCAGAGAGACTACTGTGAGGGCCGTGTGGAGGAAAGGAGGCCAGGCAGAGAAAACAAAGCTCCCCCAGTCCCAGAGCCCTGCCTGGGCTGTGCCCGTGTCCCGCCTCAGGATGGGGACTGAATTTATATACAGCTCTTCTTTATTAGGAGTAGTATTAAGCCAAGTGAGCTCTTTTTTTTTTTTTAAGATTTTATTTATTTATTTGAGAGAGAGAGAATGAGATAGGGAGCATGAGAGGGGGGAGGGTCAGAGGGAGAGGCAGACTCCCTGCCGAGCAGGGAGCCCGACGCGGGACTCGATCCCGGGACTCCAGGATCATGACCTGAGCCGAAAGCAGTCGCTTAACCAGCTGAGCCACCCAGGCACCCGCCAAGTGAGCTCTTAATAGCTGAGCAGGTAGTTCTGAGAAGCCCTGTCACTCCTGGAATAAGACATAACATAATAACAATAATTTAAAAATTCCCAAGGATAACAAATGAAAAAAAAAAAAAGACCAGACCCTTGTGAAGATACGACATTGTGGGGTTTCTGTAGGTTAGAGAAAGTCACCGTTAGGAGGGCTCGGCATGGATCCTTGGTTCCGTCCCTCCAGTCCCTGGTGATGATGCAAGGTGAGTCCCACCCAGAGGATAAAGACACGTAAATTCTGACCGGTTACTGTGAGCCAGGCCCTGTCCAAACCTCCACAGGTCTTGCTGCCAAAGCATCGACTGTCCTGTTAAGGCTGACGTCCAGCCCGACTGTCCAGCCCGGGAGCTGCTGCTGTTGTGCCCATTCTACAGATGGAGACACTGAGCACGATCAGAAGGGCAATGGCCAACGTGCCAGGGATGGAGCCTGGATTCAACCCTGAAGCAGGAGGCTGAGAGCCAGACCATCTACAGGGCGTGACACGCTTCCTCGGACCCCAGGTTCTTGGTAAATGGGGGTCCCTGGGGGTGTGAGCAGGGCCTGTTTCAAGTCCTTAGGGGGGCTGGATCTGGAAACATTAGTCACCTTCGTCAAATCAAAGGGAAAAAATCCAGCGTGGAGCTTCCCGTGGGGGCGCCGGCAACTCGATCCCGACATCTCCCTAGCACCCAGGTGTAGCAAGGGGTTGAGTGCTGCCACTTTGAATGGGAGGGTCTGCGGGCCGAGGGGCTGCCAAGCTGCCTGGAGCCAGGCTGCCATTCACGCACAACACCTCCTGAGCACCTACTGCGTGCCGGGCACTATTAAAGGCGGGGGGGGGGGGGGGGCTGGGCACAGCTGGGAATAAGACACACCTGAGTTTGCTCCTCAGAGGTGACAGCAAGCTGATGGAGACTCCTGAGGGCCAGGAAGCAGCTTCCACCAGAGGACTGCCTTGGTGGGAGAGGGGCACTCCGAAGTTCTCCCCAAGTGAGGAAAAATCCGAGGCAGAGTCCTGCAGCGAGGAGGCTGGAGAGATGGGGAGGAAGGCCAGTGTGGCCAAGGGGGAGCCTGCGGGAGATGGGGGGTGATGAGAGGCCACCCAGAGGGGTTCCTGCCATACCCCTCACCTGATGGCTGACCGATCCTCACTGTGCTTTGGCCGGCTCCACTGGACACTTGAGGAGGCCTGCACAGGTAAGGACAGGCTCAGGGACCCCCAGTGAGCTCCCAGCTCCTGACACCTCTGCTGGCTGTCAGTCCCTCCAAGGGAAAGTCACCAAGAGCACCTACTGTGTGCAGTGGGCCAGGAGTTCTGGGAGATGAACCAGGTGAACCAGCTCCTAAATTCCTTCACTGAACTTGCCAGCAAATAGGAGACACAGGAAGGGAGCTCCCTGAGGGGGTCCTGGGAAGAGAGGGACCACACCCTGTGAAGACATCAGGAGGGGCCACCAGCTGGGCCCAGAGACGGAAAGGGGAGTCAGGGGCCCAGAGATAGAAAGGACTTGGGACCTGTCTCTCGGTCCCCTGCATGTGTGCCCTGGCCAGAATTATCTTCTTGGCCCTAGATCCGAAGTCTCATCTGGGGGGTCCGGGGTCCCCACAGCAGCTCTGAGCCGACAGCCCAGAAAGGCCCTGGCCTGGGTGGGCACTGCTCCGGTAGGCTGCAGGCCTGGGGGGGAGCAAAGAGCCTCATGGAAGAGGCTGGAGACCCGGTTCTCATCCTGCCAAGGCCCCCCTCTCTGGGCTTCAGGACAAGAGACCTCAAATCTCCCAGGTCCCCTCTCCTGGGGTGAATGAGCCCTAGCAGGGTTCAGAGGTTGGGTCCAAGGGCAAGGAATGGGGTAAGAGGTGGGAGAGGCCGAAATGGCCTGGGGATGGCTCTGGCCACAAGTGCCGGGGGCAGCAGGGCTTGGGGTGGGCTCCAGGCCCCCCGGCAGCTGTGGCTGGGCAGGACCTGCTGGGGGTGGCAGCAAGGCTCCTCAGCTACCCCAGAAAACAGGGATTTTCACACCTAGGTGAGCCAGCACCTAGCTGGGCCTCCGGTGAGTCCCGCCCCCATCAGGCTATAATGGGCACAGTGGGGAGTGGTGACAGCAGATGTCAAGGGTGGAGTGCTCCAGAGGCTTGGCCTGGGTCCCCACCAGGTAGGGGGCTCCAGCTATGGCCCTTGACTCTTCCTCCTGCGAATCAGAGGGGAGGGGGCCGTGAATATCCTGCATGGCCCTGAGCCCTGCCACCTGTCCTTTCCTGGAGGAGGATGTGTATAGAAGGTGCAGGGCTGTGGCCTCTCCTGGGTGCACGCCCACGCCTCACCCCCTGCATTCCTTTAGCAGCGCCCACTGGAAGCACCCTGCTCAGGCGATGCCTCTAGCTGGCTTACAGAACTCCATCTCTGCATCCCCCCAGTGTGCAGGGGGCCAAACCAGAGTGAGGGGGAACTGACTCCCCCCAGCCTCTGGCACTGGGTTCTTCCTTCCCCCGCAGGTGCTCATGTTGCTGATTGCCCTACCCTACCCCCAAAAGCCAGGCGGGTCTGCATGGTCCCAGCAAAGGAACCAGGTTCCCGGGAGTCCCTGAGAGGCCAGGCGCTAGGAGTGGCTGCTGGGAACCGAGGGTGCCTGGTTAGGGCGGCACTCGGGCTGCTCAGGCAGAGGCGGAGAAAGGGACAGACAGGGACGAAGTGCAGGAGGCAAAACTCTGGCTGGAAGGCAGGAGTGGAGGACACTCGAGGGGCGGGACCAACAGGTCGGTGAGCCGGCGAACCCAGGGGTGGGGGCCGGGGACCCTCCAGGTGGCCCTAGCGGCGCTCGTCCCGGCCGCCACCCCTCCCCCAGCTCTGATTGGCAGGCGGCCTGCGACCAGCCGCGAGCGCCACAGCGCCCCGGGCGCCCAGGCGAACGCGAACGGCCCCCCGCGGGAGTAGGAGGGGGCGCCCGGCTATATATAGCGGCTTGGTCGCTGCCGGCCCAGCGCGCAGGGAGGCGCGCACCGCTCCGCAGGGTCCCAGCCCGGGCCGTGCGTCCTGCCCTGCTGCCCGCCGCTCCATGCAGCCCGGGTAGTTGCCGGCGCCTGGGGGCCCCGTCCCTCGCCTCCCGCTCCTCCATCGGCCGCGCACTCCCTGCCCGGCTCCTAGACACGTCTATACCGATGGCCTTACCCTTCTCCTTGATGTTTGCAGAGAGACTACTGTGAGGGCCGTGTGGAGGAAAGGAGGCCAGGCAGAGAAAACAAAGCTCCCCCAGTCCCAGAGCCCTGCCTGGGCTGTGCCCGTGTCCCGCCTCAGGATGGGGACTGAATTTATATACAGCTCTTCTTTATTAGGAGTAGTATTAAGCCAAGTGAGCTCTTTTTTTTTTTTTAAGATTTTATTTATTTATTTGAGAGAGAGAGAATGAGATAGGGAGCATGAGAGGGGGGAGGGTCAGAGGGAGAGGCAGACTCCCTGCCGAGCAGGGAGCCCGACGCGGGACTCCATCCCGGGACTCCAGGATCATGACCTGAGCCGAAAGCAGTCGCTTAACCAGCTGAGCCACCCAGGCACCCGCCAAGTGAGCTCTTAATAGCTGAGCAGGTAGTTCTG